TTTGACTGTAGAGCTGCGGGTTGGCATAGGGTTCGTTGGATGTGGCCGAAACTGTTGTTCTGCAAGAAATTGGAGTAGAGACAGGTTTTGATTGTTCCATGCCTGCTTTTTGTATGATTGTTTTGGCATATTTTTGTTGATGGAGAATCACGCCGGCTTTGGTTTTGGTTGTTTGAATGCCAAGAAAATGAGATAGTGACCCGAGATTTCTCATCTAAAATTTAGCATTTAGATTGGCAAGTAGTTTATTGATTTCGGATGTAGAGTTACCTGTGAGTAGAATGTCGTCGACGTATATAAGCATGTAGATGCGAATTTGCCCGGAGGTGTATGTGAGGAGCGAATGGTCTGAGGTGCTGATAGTGAACCCGAAGTTGATTAGGTTATTGGATAGAGTAGCATACCATTCCCTTGGGGATTGTTTGAGTCCGTAAAGAGCTTTCTTGAGCTTACAGACGTGGTGCGGGTGTTGCGTATCTTGAAAGCCCGATGGTTGAGACATGTAGACGGTGTCGGTCAGTGTTCCGTGGAGGAATGCGTTGGAGACGTCTAGTTGATGAATGATCCAATTGTGGTGAAGTGCTACGAGGATGAAGACACGTATTGTCGGCATTTTGGCGACGGGGCTGAACGTTTCGTTGTAGTCGATGCCATGTTCTTGGTTGAATCCTTTAGCTACTAACCGTGCTTTGTGTAGGGCTATGGACCCATCGGAGTTGTATTTGATTCTGAATGTCCACCTGGATCCGAGGATGTTCATGGATGTGTTCGGAGGAACCAATTCCCAAGTTACTTGGGCTTGTAGAGCTTGAAATTCTTGTGACATGGCCGTGCGTCACTGTTCGGATTTTGCAGCCTGGTTGTAAGTGATAGGTTCGGTTGGCTGTAGAAGGTGAGCCAAGTCGAAGATCTGCTTCGGTTTTGAGAGGCCGCTTTTTAGATGAGTGACCATAGGATGATAAGGTGGGTTCGGATTTTTAGAAGTGGTCTTAATGTCTTGTTTTGCGAGTTAAGTTGACTGTCAACAGTCAGGTTTGGGTTCGGTGTTAAGGTGTTTGGGTTATGGCGTTGGCTGGGATCTGTAGCAGGTCTGGTAGGCTGAGGGTGTTCTGTTTGGTGATGTGTGTGTGGTATGTCTTGAGGTTGGTGTTTAATGGTATGAGGTAGGCTTATGTTGGGAACCAGAAGAAGGGGAGGAAGGTAAAGCGGGAGGTGGAGTGGGATACCGTCTGAGTCAGTTTGGTGGAATAGGGAAAAATTGTTTCATTAAAAAGAACGTGCCGTGATATGTAAATTTTGTTAGAGTTTGGTTTCAGGCATTTGTAACCCTTTTGAGATTGAACATAGCATATGAAACGCAGGGATGAGAAGTGGGTGAGAGCTTGTTGGAGGTGTATGGTTTGAGCCATGGGTAGCAAAGGCATCCATGGACTTTGAGGTGATTGTAGTCGGGTTGCTGTCTGTGTAGAATTTCATAGGGGGATTTATTCTGTGTGTTGGGAGAGGGCATGCAGTTGATGAGGTAATTTGCGGTGAGAAGGGTGTCGACCCAAAGATGCAGAGGTAAGGAAGCTTGTATGAGCAGTGTCCGAGTGGTTTCTATAAGGTGCCGATGTTTGTGTTCGGCGACACCATTTAGAGACGGCGTGTGCAGGAAGGAGGATTGATGACGTATGCCAAGTGTTTTGCAGTACAATTTGAATTTGTTGTTAATGAATTCGCCACCGTTATCGGTGCGAAGAATCCAAATTTTGCAATTAAATTGTCTTTCAACGAATTTTTGAAATTAGAAAAATTTGTAAAACACTTCTGATTTATTTATCATGGGATATATCCATGTAAATTTGGAGAAGTCATCTATGAAAGAAACGTAGTATCGGAAGCCTTGGGAGGATGCCGTAGAGAACGGTCCCCAGACGTTCGAATGAACCAGATCAAATGAGTTTGTGGTTACAGTTTGAGATAGAGTAGTAGGGAGGCGATGGCTCTTGGCCATTCTACCAGAATTACAAGAAAAGGTAGTAGCGGTAGTGTAAACAGAGCCCGAGCGTTTTGCAAAGCTTGCAAGAATTTGAGTTGAGGGATGACCGAGACGGCTATGTCACAGATCCGGTACTTGTTGAATGGAAAGAAGAGCAAGCTGTTCGGTATTGGCGACCGATTGTTGTTTACGGCGGAGCGGATAGAGGCCGTTAATAGAAGGACTCGTGAGAAGACGGCGGTGGGTCTTCCGATCCTTTATTTCGTAGCCGTGAGGGGAGAAGGTGATGAAGCAGTCGTTGTCGGACGTTAGTTGGTGAACAGATAAGATGTTAAAGGATAAATCAGGGACAAAATTGAGATGCGATAGATTGAGACTACTTGTAGGGGTTGGAAGAATCCCTTTACCTGTATTATGGATTGGAACATGTTGTCCGTTGCCGAGAATTACCTGGCAGTTGCCGTTGTACGATTGTGGTTGTTGAACTTGAGACGGGTCGGAGGTGAGGTGTGATGTTGCTCCGCTATCAAGAAACCAATCTGAAGAGTTGGTAGTAGGGGGTGATGTGAAGAGAGCGACCGTTGGTTCGGTGTTGTATTGTTCGTCGTGACGATGCCAGCATTTGATGCCGGAGTGGCCGGGCTTTCCGCAAATCTGGCAGGAAATTGAAGATCTATTGTTCTTGGGTCCGCAATTGTTTGGTACGTTGGAAGAGGTTCGGCCGTTGTTACGACCTCAGTTTGCGGACGTTCTGCCACGCCCACGCCCACGGCTGGTTGTGAGTGCCGTTTGTTGTCCAACAATGCTGAGAGAGTGAAGTTCTTTGGCTGTCTCGTGCAGAAGATTAAGCTCTTCGCTGCAAAGAAGAGTGTATAGTTCGTCTAAACTTACTGAGCGAAGATTGGTACGAATGGTGGTTTTGAAAGCTTGATAGATGTTGGGTAGTCCGTTGAGAGTATAATGAATGACGTCTTCGACGTTGACCGGAGCGCCGGCAGCTGCTAGAGGATCGACTTTGGATTTTACCTCTAAAAGATATTGAGTCATGGACTTATCTTTCATTGATAGATACTGCAGTTCGTTTATTAGTTATGAGATTCTTGATCTTGTGGAGGATTGTAGGCGGCTATCAAGAATTCGCCAAATGTCGCTGCAGTGGTCGGCGGAGAGGACATAGGGTAGAATTGTGGGAGAAATAACAGAGTATAGAGCTGCGGCGAGATTTTGATCGATCAACAGCCACGTTGAGTGTGCAGTGTTGACGATGTTTTGTCCGTCGCTGTTGGAGATGAAGGGAGGCGGGCTGGTGATTGAGCCTGTCAAGAAGCCTTCGAAACTGTTGGCCCGAAAGAGCTTTAGGACTTGAGATCTCCATAGCGAATGGTTATCCGCTGTTAGCTGCTGAGCTATGACGTTCTTGACGTTGCTCGTCAAGAATTTGAGGGAAGATGGAATTTGGGGAGAGGAGAAGGGTTCTTCGGCGGCGGTGGAGGAATCCGCCTGAGTGGGCGACGATGTAGTAGTAGTAGATGTCATTGTCAGGAAGAAACGGAGTAAGAGGATGAACTAGACTTCTGATATCATGTAGGAAAACAGAGTGGGCTCACGTGAACTCCAGAGAAACATAGAATAGGAAAATAGAAAAGTGATTCATTGATTTGTCTAAAGGTTACAAGGGTATAAAAGACAAACTAAGTAAAGAAAAGGACATAACAAACTTAAAGAAAGTACATTGCGCAGTTAACGTTTCAAAGGTGACCAATCTCACTTTGCCACGTGTAAGGTGGCTAAAAAATCAAACATGAACACAAACATTAAAGCTCGAATCAAACACGAACTGAAATTGAACAAATTAATAATAAACGAACTCAAATATAAACACTCACATACTCAGCTCAGTTCGATTCGTTTGCAGCCGTAAGTAGAAATGATAAACTATTGGAAGCCTAACTCGCAAGGAAGCTCCACCACTTTTGCATGCCCAATATATGATTTGATAGATGCGATCGGAAACATAAAAAATCTATAGTTTATTGAACGCAAATCTCAATACATAGTGTGCATCTCAAACCAATCGAGTCAATGAAAGAGATCACGGAAGGCTGAATTGCACAATGACCTTACAAATTTTCCAAATGAAAATTTTGGAGGGACCTGAACAGACTGGTTCAGGGTAGAATATGGGTTCTCAATATGGAGAAATTATTTTGTGCAAATATTGAACGGTTTAGAGAAGAATCAGAACGCACCATATAATTATTTTGTACAAATATTTTTTTTATTCTGTACAAATAATTTTTTTAGAATCTCTCAATAATTTTTTACCTCTGCCAAATGTTGACAAAGATGAAAAATTTTGTCATATATCCTATTTATATTGATTGAATTAAATAATATGACTTCTACTTGTTTTTACTTCAACAACTAAATATGCATTTTAAGTATTAAAAATTATCAAGACATGATCGTGACAATGGGGGTCAAAACGAGTCAAAGGGTCGGGTTCGAATAAAAATCCACTCTCATACTTCAAATCTACTCTTCCAAGCCAATGAACTACTCTTCCAAAGTACACTTTCACCCTTCCATGCCATAGATCTACTATTTCATGCTCGAATATGCTCTTCCAACAAGTCAAAGAAATAATTATCCAAGGAACAAATCCATTATTCTAAGTCATAAATCTAGTCTTCCGAGATACAAATTTACTCTTCCAATTCATAGATCTATCCTTCTGTCTCAAATCTTTTCTTCCATAATTTTCTGCTCAAATTTACTCAGATCAAATCATCATAGGTCTTTGAAGGCAACTAACACTACAACTAGGCCACAGAGGTCAATATTACTTATGTAAATATTAACTACAATGACTTTGATCCTCTTAAAAGATATGTGTAGGAAATCCTGTCTCTTATTATGCCTTTATAATATAAAGAGAGAGAGAGAGAGAGAGAGAGAGAGAGAGAGAGAGAGAGAGAGAGAGAGCATCATATATACCAACATATTCAGAATTCATATGAAAAAAAGAACAAATTCTTTCAAGTCAAATAACCATGAACCATCGGAATAGACTCAGCATTTCATAGGATATGTATGAGATGAACAATTTAAACATTATTTATGTTTAAACAAATTAAAGAATCTTACAAGCAGAAGATGTAGTTCGAATTTTACGTCAAGACTTTGATAATGTAGCATCCAACTTTTCCGCAATTGATGAAATCCACGCCTTCAAAAAAACAAAAACGATGCTCAGCAATAGACTATTCTGGAACATGATGATGTCAATTAGTACTAAATATAATTAATAATAAAAGAGAATGTTTTATTCATCAAATTTTAAGAAAAGGTAAAGAGAAAGATTTAGGCTTCATTTGGGACAGCACAACAAGAAAACTGTTTTAAAAAGCAATAAAAAAGTTGTCCCAAACGAAACATTAGGATCTATTTGGGACAACTTTCTCAATGCTTTGTTTTTAAGACCACAATCACAGATCCATTAGCTACTGCTTACTCATTGTTTTCAGGACATTTAGTGGAAAGCAGTTTTTTTATAACTAGAGTCGCTAATAGGTGGTAGCTTTAAGAAAGAAATTGTTCGACTTTTTAAGAAAGAATATATTGATAATACCCACAATCACTATACAACAACATCAACAACATCAAGCCTTTATCCCACTACGTGGGGTCAGCTACATGAATCCTTTTTCTCCATTGTATCCTATTAAAAGTCAAATTCTCGTTTAAATCTAATAGAGAAAGATAATTTCTAATATTTTCTAACCAAGTCTTTAATAATTTTTTGTCCGCATTTGGAGAGGACAGTGGTCGTGTTGTTCATGCTCTTAATACCAACAATCACTATAAAAAAAATTCAATAACTTTACATTCACCTTTAAAAATGCTGTAGCAATCCCATACAAACCCTTAGTAGCCCAATCAAATGAGCCCTAAGGCACCATTATATTAATTTGAAGTTTAAAAACATAGTTTGACAAATAATAAAAATTGCTATTTCCATCATTTGATTGGAAAATAGCATTGGCTTTAAGCTGCAGCAACCTTGTAAACTCCCTCAAACATAATAAATTCATTTAAATAAAATAAGAAAAATGAAGTCATCAATTTTTAGAAAATGTTTTCACCGAAGTTGCAAAAGTTTTCTTAAATTTTTCTTAAGGCTTGAGACACTTCCGTTTTCCTGATCATTTTACTTATCTGCTTTGCTGCGTTCCATTTTTCTACGGTTCATATAACCGACATGGCTAGGTTGTCTACTTTCCAAGCTTATAAGCTTAAGTAAAATTGTCATCACAAAGCATGAGATGGAATCGGCATAAACCATCCAAGGTGCTTTCGAAGCTTAATTTAATGAAGGGTAAATTCCAGCTATGTCTTACAAGTAACTCAAGTTTAAGTTTAGTGACAATTAGATCCTAGGTCCCTCCATTAGCTGTTTAAAGATGTGAATCTAGTACCAAACAAAAAAAGGTTTCGTGATGACCGCTTTTATTTTTATCATGCTCTAAGAAAGCATGTCTTGATACCAAGTTGATCTCAACTCAACCTCTCAATATTTTTTTGTAAGCCCACACAATGAGGATTAATTATTATGTACGTAAATTAAACGCTGTCTGGAGACCAACCAGAATGCACCACATCACCCCTTCGTTGGGTACCGCGGCTCGGTACCACTGATGTAGCTGCACCTGATTCGCCTCCGAACGTAGAGCTGCGTCTGGCCTTCGCAAAAAATAATTTCTCCACAATGAGAGGGTAAAATGGTGAAGAAGGATTCTAGGAATTCTTGGACAAGAATGAGAAGCAAATACAAAAAACACACCTGATCAAGATTAGTGAATCCCCGGATAGTATCACCTCCAATTACAATTATTCCTTTATCTCCAACTGGTTGCAGGATCACTGCCTGTGAAATCAATATCCAAATTAATACCAAAGTTTGACAATAAGTTTCAGGAATTTCATGAATAAACTTGTCCAAGTATTCATGGTATGGATTTGGAATAATAAAAGCATACAACGCAAGAGGTATAATATTTTTCGATGGCATGTCCATAATTTTTAAGTTTATATTAAGATTCTCCAACTCCCTAAAAAGTTAACACCAAGAAAAGGATCTGAAAAATGTAGGAGGAAACTTTGATTAACTGATCTAAGAAAAATAGATCTCATAAGACTTTGAACTTCTTTTTTTCTATGATAGTAATATGAGAGAAATGCACTGATACAACGGGGAATTTATGTTGATCCATTTCTACATAAGTTAATGTCAATTTAGTAAAGTTTTGACTTTTGACCTATTGACCGATATTTGTATGGTTGTACCATGAAAAAAATAGGCATAATGATAGCTTATTTTGATTGCATGTCTTCAAAATTAAAAAGAACATAGAAAGAAGTACTTAAGAAAAACTTATTAATCATAAGAAATAAGTTTCCTTAGTCCTCAAGGAGCCTGCATCCTCTTGTAGCCCATTCTCTTAAATAAATTAATTGTTTTAAATTACAGGAAAAAATCATAGTATTTACTTGTCGAAAAATATTAAGAATATACATTTATAAAGATAATTATTTTTTTTTTTACTTCGCAGAGATAAAATCCCCACATAGTGAGATAAAGGCTTGATGCTATTGTTGTTATTGCTGTAAACATAAAATGAGAAAAAAATGACAAACAACTACTTAAATTCACCTGTGTGTTTGATGGTAAGAAGGGTAGTTCAGTTCTTCCAGGATAAAGAGAAAGGTTAGCCAAATAGCTTTCTGCAAAGCATAGCCACTTAGTAGTAAGATGGAAAAATTTGTACAAAATCAATTAAATCAAATAAATTTAAGAGGAAAAGTGCATACGCTTTCCAGATTCCACAGTAGTTCGATAAAGTGACCCCTGAGTCAACCTAGCTACATCGACAGTCAATACACCACCATTTTCAGTTGAAGATTCTGCTCTAACCCCAATTTGAAGTAGACAATTTCCACCATGTACAACAACGAAAGATCTGCAACATGTTGCAGCTGAAAGAGATTCCCATGCCCTAATAGTGGAGCGTCATTTTTAAACCAGATTAGATGAGACCAGATGCTTCTAACTTGTTATATAAACCAGATTTGCTAGAAAGAGTATAAATCCAACGAATTAAGAAAACAAAATCACTTTAAAGGGGAAAAAAATTCATAAGAACCTTCAAATTTTGTTTTCTGTAAATGTTACCATAACAACTCAATAACTGAACTTTCTGGAAGGGAAGAATCTATCCATCTGCATTTCACACCATGAGGAGAAACCTGTTTATCAACAGAAATTTAGAAATTTTCAAAGGAAAAAGGGGAATTGGAATCAACTTATCACACTGGATTTAAGAAAAAAACAAATTTAACAAGAATTCTCCATTTCGCATGAAAAACTAGGATTCCATTTGGATGAGATGTGGAAGTGCGAGAGAATATGAAATGCAAGAAGCTTGTTGCTGGATCATCAGTTCCTGTCATCCATTCATTATCAATGCGCCTCCTTTTCATATTCTGTCTGCTACTTTCACCGCAAACCAAATGGAGCCTACAAAATCCTTACCGAAGAAATATATTTTGGTTGGATTGACAACCAAACAAGTCCGGTAAGAAGATTGGTTACTGCCAGAGCAAGAGTCAGTATATCAGCCCTTGATTGCGAACTGTAGATAAAAAGCATCACTTAAATTGCGCACAACCCTGTTTAACATGATTGTACTAAGCATGTGAAAATTAATCATTATCTTATCAAGAAAAAATTTTTTGCTTGTGAAATCTAAAGATCTAGACTTCGTTTGAGATAGCTTTTAGCCATTGCTTTTCATTACTAACAAAAAAAAAATTTATAATAGAAAGTTGCTTTAGAAAGCAGTAACAAAAACTGTCTCAAACGAAGCCCTAGTAGATGTCCAACAAATGTTGTCTCAAGAAAAGTTCGTTATGATGCAATTATCAAGTAGGGCATAATAGATATCTATGCACCAACTTCAACAGGAGAGTCAACAGTGTATAATATTCCTCCTTGGATCACTTCTTGGATCATTCATTGATTATATTCCTAGAACCACTCCTTGATTATATTTCTCTAATCACTACTAATCATAATTATGTAATTATTACAGGAACTCTTGTTTGGTAAATAAGGATTGTTTGCTACTTCAGGAAAGATCCTCTTTTTATGTAACATGTATGCAACTGCTTACAAAAGCCTCCATCCATCAAGAAGATAAATGCAAGAAAGATTATTCTTTCTACTTCCTTATGTGGACAAATAAGTATATATAATATGTGCATTTGAAGTTCTCATGCTTTACTATGTAGTTGCACAACGCAGGGTAAAATGTACCAATAAGATGGCTAGTTAGAATTATTATGTGGAATATGAGGAACAAAATAAATGTAGATTAAATATAACAAGTCTAAAGTTAAGCCAAAATACTTGTACAAGGAACCATGTAATATCTCATGGAACACTCAAAAAGAATGAATGGAGAAGAAGGGTTTACATAGCTGACCTCAACTAGTTAGGAGAAGGCTAATGCTAATGAGGATGACCACATATCAACTTAAATTTGCAGTTTTTTCAGTTCACTCAAATAGATATTTATGCGTCAGTAGGAATATCATGGAAAACAGTTCAAATTTCCTAAGACCGTAAGTGAAAAAAGCAGTAATCTTTGGACCAACAAAAGACACGGAGTAAAAGAGCATTAGAAAAAAGGGACAAAACCAACTACCAATAGAGATGCAAGTTCCATTTTGTTAACAGATACGACGTTTTTTTTTTTCTCCTAAGGGCCGAAAAACATACAAAAGTAGAGGAACAGTTTGAACCAAGATTGGCGCTTCAAAAGATACAGAGTAAAAGAACACTAAAAACCTAACATATTAAGAATTACAAAAACAATGTGCCCAAAAAATAACAGAACCCTTATGCTAATCGAGGTTTTGGATATAAAAAATGGGGATTTTTAGAAGAAAAAAGAGACCTCGAGGCATCGGCTACGGGGGCTATGCCAGAAAAGGTTCTGTTGAGGAGGACAACAACCAGGGAAATGCCTCCGGTAAAGATGGGAAGGCTCCGGGCCGCCACATCATTACCGGTAACCCAGTCGGCGATCGGATTCCGGCGTGGCTTCGGCACTTTAAAAGCCGTGGAAGACGCTGGAGGAGGAGAAGAGGAAGATGAAGAGGAGAAAACTTGAACGGGGCGAAATTTTGAGAACAAATAGGATTGACAGCGCCGAGGACTGGTCCACGAGGAAGAGAGCGACGAGAGGGCTGAGATAACAGGCAGAAGTCCCGCTTCCATAGTTCAGCTGCTCTACAGTACACGAATTCGTGCTAAATTATGAGCACGCAGGATTCAGGCTTTCGCTCGTTGGAGTTTTTTTTTTTTTTTTTTTTTGGCTCGTTGGAACTTAAAATCTAGATTAAAAAAAAAAAACCTAGGGTTACTAATTTTGTTACACGTACACGTCAATAAAATTTTAAAAATAAAAATTCATATTATAAATATTTTAATTATATTATCAATTTATCATTATTAAAATGAAAATATTAAATTTAACACTATAAATAATTATAATCATTCATATTTATTTACAGGTGCTTAAAGTATGCTTAAATAAAAATTAAAAATTTTTATAAATAAAGATAAAAATTATAAATAATATAAATTAATTTAAAACTATTAAAATAAATATTAGAAAAACATGATTTTTTATTTTATAATAAGAACTAGCAATATTCACAAATTAAAATATAATCTTATATTAAAATTAAACTGTCAATACTAAACAAATTCAATCTATGTTGCTATGGCCAAGTAAATTGAACCTAAAAATAACACAATATAAGGCCATTAGATAAATGATTTAAGTAAAAAATATATAGGAAAAGAAATCAGGTCTAATATGTCATCGAAAAATTATCTTGATCGGGCACGAATCACGAGGCAAAAATCAAGTCGGAAACTTCTAAAATTAAATTCGGGATCACCTGAACTTTGATTTCAGCAAACTTACAGTTAAACTAAGCGTCTCGAAAATACAAACCCAACGACACCAAATTCAACTCAATCCGAGCCCAAATGAGTCCAAATCAAGGACCCGAAGCATTGTTGGAAAGTTCGTACCAAAATTTGAGTTACCAAACGGTCTCCGAACTTGACGAGACGAATCCAACGAGCCCAAGATCGCCGAATTCTGAAGTCATTAAGACCTTCAAATGTCTGATAAACGGTCAACGATCGAAGGATTCAATATCGATCGTTCATCCGAACCACTCCATCTTTGCACTTGGTCTCTCATCTAATTACAGACCATGCCACTTCAGAAAATCTATAAATAGACCTCTTATTTTCACATGAGAGGGGAAGCCAAGCAAGAAGCAAGAAGAAGGAAGAAGAAGAGAATGAGAAGAGAATGATAGGAGGGAATAACTCCTCCTCGACCACCACCAAAGTTCTTCCCGACGCCAAAATTCTGCCGGACTTCCGACCACCGCCAGAGTTCTGCCTGACGTCAGAATTCTATCGGACTTCCGAACAAAGCAAGAGTTTTTCTCTACGCCGGAATTCTGCCCGACCTCAAAGTGACGTGGGAATTCCGCCAAACATCCAAGTAATGTCGGAGTTTCACCAGAACTCCAAGTAACATCGGAGTTCTCCAGGAATATCACCTAACGTCAGAGTTCTCCTCGGCCACCAACTGACGTCTGACTTCTACCTGACATCGGACCTCCGCTCTTCGCCAAATTTATACCCAATGCCGGACTTCTACCGGTTGTCAGACTTTCGCTAGACATCTATCCGAAGAAGGATTTCTTTCCATTATTGGACTTCTACCTGACTACAGTCTTTCTGACCTCCATCACCCGCAGACAATAGTCTTTTCGACTTATGTCGTCCACTGACTACAGTCCTTCAGACCAAACAAACACATAAACAATGATTTCTTTTGTATTCTCACTATGCAATGTACTCTATAAGATGTACATCAAGCTAAGGCCTTCCCCCGAGGAAGGACCTCGTTTGTAATCAACTACAATACTAGTGGATTTATTCATACTGGACCAGGCCCCGTGGTTTTTCCCCCTTTTTTAGGGGTTTTCCACGTAAAAATCTTGGTGTCTTTAATGGATAACGCACCCTCTCTTTTTATCTGATTGCATGCCGGATTTTGATACAGCGCAAATACCCTAAACTTTATATTTCTCTACCGCCATGAATACTCCTGGATGCAACAAGGTCAAAATGAAGCCAATTGATGCATGAATTTGAATCCAATTCTCTATGATTCTCCCTTTGAAGTCAATTAGCCTCAAAAGGATATTCTTAGATATTAAACATGTTATATATGACATTTATGCTACAGATAATCTATGTTGGTTTTCATATTTAAATAACTACTAATTCAGATTTTTTTAATTAGGAGAAAAAGTTTTTCAATAGGAAAGGCATTACTGAGAAAACAACCTATTTTTTCTACTATTTTCTGATTATTTAAATAAGTAAATTTTGAAAATATCATAGAAGATACCAACTATAAAGTACCAAACAATATTTGAAACTCTTTAATTTTTTTTTTTTTTTTTTTTTTATTTTTTTTTTTTTTTTTTGTTGATCTAGAGAAGTATGATTCACAAATCATATTCGACGGAACATTTATAGTATTGTGCTTTAGCTTTTCTAATTTTTTTTCATAATTTTTAAACATTGTTGAAATTTCTTAAGAAATCGACCCCTATCGGTACAAGTATGATTATTAGGACAATCAGGTGTCTGTTTTGCAAATCAATTTTATCAGAATTTTATAAATAAAATTAGATAATTTGTGAATAATATACATCATGTAAGCATATAAACGAGTCCAAACAGGTGAAACAAATGTCAAATTATGCGGCAATTAACTTTCTTGCTTTTCATGCAAAATCAAAACCTCTCAAAAAAAAAAAAAAAAAAAAAAGTTCATGCTTACAAAACATTCATTTGCACAACTAAATGTTTTGATGGAGCACCCAAAAAATATTCAATTCAAACGTGTCAAAATATTATTGCATTTTTTACAAATACAAATGCATAAACTAAAACATGCAAAATAAGGAGAATTTTCGGAGGCCAATATCATAATCTTGTCGATGCCTTTATAGTTCGTTGTTTGTTGTCATGATTGATAACAATTATTTTAAAATTGTCGTAATACCTTCTATGCCTTTTAGTAGGAATCCTCGTTAGTTCTTCAATGCTAAAACTTGTATGACCCAGCTACATAGCATATCAGTGCTCAACAGATTTACATCGCCATTAATTGAGGCCAAATTTATGAACTATGATTTCTCATTCTTTCCATTACAACTAGAGAGTTAAACGACATTATTACATTGCACAATGCATGTAATGCATCGGGCTTTTTGGTTGGTCATATAGAAGATTGACAAAAATATATGAATGGCTTGAATAAATTAATAGAACCAAAAAATTAGAAGTTTAAGAAAGGAAAACATATATATACACAATATTACAATCAAAGATAGTATACAAGCAAACGTCGGGGCCCACGAAGGAAACTAGCAGGCCCACGAAGGAATCTCACGGGGCCCACGAACGAATCTCAAACATGCAGAGAAGATATGACTTTTATGGTTTTGTAGGGGAATACATAAAATGGGAAGTTGGAACAAACCGTAGTCCTATTTTAATCATAGCTATTTTTTAAGAGGGAGATTTACATACATATCAACTTATACCATTCTATTTATAAATTTAACATTTACATTCATATCAATCATAGTTTATTTTGATATTAAATATGAGTGGTAGAAATGAAATATATGAGTGGTATGAAAGAAATATAAGTGGTATATTTGATATTAAAATAATAAAGGGTGTCATGCATGTAATATTAAAGTTTTAGGTATTAGATATATAAATATGATGTTATAAAATGGTATGTATATAAATTTCACTTTTTAAAATAAATATATTCAGATATTTTATTAATTAAAATTAAACATGATATCAGCTTTGTTTGGTTTAGACAGCTTTTTAGTTGCTTTATTTTTTAAATCATAATCATAATTTTAATTTGATCACTAATTTTTTATTATTTAAAAAATAATATTCTAAAAAATAAAAAGATGCCTTTTACATTAAATTAAAATTTTAATTTCTTTATCACAGCTTTATATAATAATTAAAAATATGTCCAGAACAAAGTATTTATTTAAGGAGGGCTCAATCCTAATTGTATGGAATAAAATTAAATAATAATCAGTTTTTTTTTAAATCACATATAAATTTATAATTATGACCTCTACATTTTTTTTTATTTATTAAATTTAACCATTTAACAAATAATAATACATGTTAAAAATATTTAATAATATAAAAATAAATTAATATTTAATGATTAAAAGTAATAATAAATGTTTAAATATTTTAAATAATTAATAATATTTAAAAAATCCCGCTAAGGCTCGTGAGCCGGCTCAAGCTCATTTATAGTAGGACGAGCTCGATTTCAAGCTCGACTTTTGAGCTTGACTCGAGCTCGAGATCGCTTTCCAGCCGACAAGTTGAGCTCAATATGCCAAAACTCGACTCACTTACGAGCACTGAGAGTTATCAATTTAAAGTTGATAAGATAGGAGCAATGGGATTGAAGTTGATGGTCTAAAAGTTGGCGGGTCCGATGCGCTCTATCAATCATATAGATGAACATAGATTAACATTAAGTTGAAATGGAACGTGGTTGAGCGCAGGCAATGCCTCCCGCCGGCTCCAATTCGATCCCTAGATAAGAAGCTACAGGAGAAATGAATTAAAACCTTCTTCTATCTTCTGTTATGCTTCAGAGTATCTCTGTTAATCTGGATTTGCTCTGCATTTACCATTTCAACAACAAGAATCCAATACCTATGACCTAGTGCAGAGTGATGGAGATATCAACCCTTCTATATTCCTCCCAAGAAGGAGAGGTTGAGGGGAACTAAGCGTAAGGCTCGATAGCTACTGCGTACAAAATAAGAGTAGCTTCAGAGTATCTCTGTTAATCTGGATTTGCTCTGCATTTACCATTTCAACAACAAGAATCCCATACCTATGACCTAGTGCAGAGTGATGGAGATATCAACCCTTCTATATTCCTCCCAAGAAGGAGAGGTTGAGGGGAACTAAGCGTAAGGCTCGATAGCTACTGCGTACAAAATAAGAGTAACAACAACACCTAATGGGAAAGCGACTACAATTTTTTTTTAAGCCACAATTATTGTCTCAGTTTTCATAACAAGGCAAAAATTAATAAAAAATATATACTAAACGAGCAATATTAAGTTAATGGCATTTTCTCTTGATTGAAAATACATCCAATATATATATATTGTTGCGGGCTAGAATATATGCGGCGATAGAGTTAGAGTCTCACGTTTTAGCATTGCACAAATATCCAACTCACACACATAAAACACAAGATTTTTACGTGGGAAATACTAGAAAGAGGAAAAACCACGGGGCCTAGCTCAGTAGAAAATGATTCAACTGGAATTCGAGTAGGTTACAGCGGGCTGACTCGTCCTTGAGGGCGTTCAGATTACAAATGTCGATTGTAAAGTTGAAATCTAGTAACTAACAAGGAAGCTAGTCCGACATCACTTGGTGGTTTGGGAGAATTTTGGGCCTCAGGTGGTGGTCCGGCAGATGTTAGGGCGTCAGGTGGTGGTCCGGCAAAACTCCGGGCCTCAGGGGGTGGTCCGGCAGAGCTTAGGGCCTCAAGTGGTGGTCTGACGGAGTTCAGGCACTCAAGTGGTGGTTCGGCGGAGGTGAGGGCCTTAAGTGGTGGTTTGGCGGAGGTGAGGGCCTCATGGTCCGGCGGAGCTCAGGGCCTCAAGTGGTGGTTCGGCGAAGCTTAGGGCCTCAAGTGGTGGTTCGACGAAGGTGAGGGCCTCAAGTGCTGGTCCGACGGAGATGAGGGCCTCAAGTGGTTGTCCAGCGGAGCAACGACGTCATGTGGTGGTCCGACAAAACTCAGGCGGTGGTCGAGGAGGAGTAAGAAGACAAGAGCGATCTTCGATCTCTCTCTGGAATCCCTTGGGCTTAAATCCCTTTTTTAAGAGAGAGGATGTGCCTATTTATAGATTTCCTAGAGTGGTATGACCCGTAAATAGGAGGAGGATCAAGGTCAAAATGGAGAGTGGTTTGGATGTACGGCCGATGTTGAATCCCTTGATCGTGGACCGTTCGTTAGACATTTGAAGGTCTTAATAATGTCGGAATTCTATGATCTTAGGTTCATTGGATTTGTCTCGTTGAGCCGCTCGAATTGACTATAAGCATGTCATGTTTGGAACTCGTTTTGTAAAACAAATTGTGGTTTGAACCTTCCAACTTCGCTTTGGGTTCTCGATTCGGACCCATTTGGGATTGAGTCAAATTTGTTGTCGTTGGGTTCGTATTTCTGAGATGCTCAGTTCGTCAATAAGTTGCTGAAACCGGAGTTTGAATGGTCCCAATTTTAATTTCAAAAATTTCTAACTTGATTTTGCCTCAAAATTTGTGCCCGATCAAGATATTTTTGAGGATGTATCAGTTGCCCCCTTATTTTATCACATCGATGCTCCATAAGTCCAAAAAATATGCATTATAGCTGCTGGGGAAAATTCTGTGTGATTCAAAATTTAGAATAATCCAATCTTTGGCGTAGAGGTCCCGAACGGCTTTAAAGTACCAAAACTAAGTCCGGAATATTAATTTTAATTCGATGTCCGGATCTATTTCTAGGTCCGGTGTCCGGACATAATAATTTCTCCTTCCCCAGTGACGTCCTGTCAATAATTTTTCATCTTATTTCTTACGTGCGTAAGACTTAGTTAACAAAATGATTTATTAAAAAAAAGTAATATTTAAAATTTAAATGTGTAAATAGAATAATTTTACTATTATGTATGCCTTTAAATTTACCCCAATTGATTTTATTTCATAAATCCTCATTTATTTTTCATTCTTCCAATAAGTTTTGTTTCCTTATTCAAGGTAATAATCTAAACTCTATTCGTATACTGCAATATTGTTGTTGGAGTAAAATAGATGTTTATAATTTTTTATTTGTCATTACAATTATTTAAAAACCATTTTCTTTGACATAGTTTCTTATTGGTCTAATAATTCCATTCAAACAGACAACTTTTTATTTTACATAATACATTCATATATATAAACTTTTATATAATAAAATGACAAAGTTGACTTTATATATCCTACATAAGAATTAAGGAATCTATTTGAATTAGTATCCTCTTGTTTTTTTTTTATTTGCCAAAACACCCCCAAAATACATTTTTGGACCTAAATATCATTAAAAGTCTTAATAGGCATATAGTAACCGCTCATCTTAGGATGTTTTTGAGACGGTTGTAACGTTTTATAAAGTTAGTAGTTGTAAATTATTGTGGGGAAAATAATTTTGCTACTACGACCGTAGAAAACAGTTTTTTATTGTAGAAATGTGTGAAAAGTAGCGAGAAAGTAACACGAAAGTAAGAGCAAAACAAATTTGCGATTATTGTTTGAAAATCAAAGCAGCTAAAAAGGTGTTTCAAACGGACCCCTAATCTTAATTTGTGATTTCTTCGTTATTTCATTATGAGATTCTATTCTTCTATACAAATAATAGAGTACGAAGATCAATATTAATGTTTTTTTTTAGAATGTTAAAGTAAAATTTCAATATAAAGATTCTTTAATTTCAAGGCATTAATAATATTTTTTAATATACTTAATCAATTAAGTAGCAAGGTTTGAATTTGATTAGAATATGGCTCAAACATTATAGGAAACTAATTTAAATTAACATATTTCAAATATAGATTGAACAAGTTAGAACTTTTCTCAAATATTGTTCTACACATGAATAAACTTCATTCAAACGTTAGTCAAACCTAATTCAAATGGGGGTTTGCCTTTGTTTGAATATTTATTAAACGTTGAGCAAAACTTATTCTGTGGCCATCATAGTCCATTCATCGTGGTTCATCATCTTGCTACCATCGTCGCCTTATCGCCATCGCCTATGCATTCATCATCAGCTAATCATTGTCACTCATTTATCTTCATCCTACTATCGTAATTCAACTACTGTTCACCTTTCCCAATACGTAATTGACATCATCTAACCGCTATCATTAATATCCATTGCTTCTCTAACTTGCTCTAATGTAATTATATCACAAGAAAGCTTGCTCGTGACTTCTTTATTATTCGGGTAAATTAATGTAAAGTCATTAAGCGAAATCCAATACAATACGCGCTCTCATTGGCTCGATTCTATCACAACCCTACATATGTCTCTATAACATATAACATTTATCTTTCATATCAATTTATTGTATGATAATACATGCAAAAAAAATCGGAAAATCACTATCAAACGTTTTATAAGAAATGATAACTCTCCAGCTGTTTTCAAACGTTATATAAAATTTAAACTAATTGCATTGCAAAGTATTGGCACTTGGGAGGATTGCACTCTCTGGCTTCTTTATTAGTTTTTAAAAATAGTGAGGAACAAATCATAAATTGTGTGATTCAAACTTTAGATCTTACAAATGTAATAATCTTCTTGGGCTAACAGCTGGCCACTAGTCCTTTCATATTTAGGGCTTAGGGATTTTTATTTTCTATGAATAGTTTGTTGATGGATGCTTTGCAGTCATTGTTAAACCTATTAGTCTTGAAGGTATATGTTTAGGTTTAGTTTAGGGGGAAATTGTTCTGTGCGATCATCGGACTGTTCGGAGCCAAGTTAGAATGCGTCATGTCACGCAGCATTACACAGCAAAAAAATGACGTGGCACGTCCGGATTCGCCTCTGGACAGCGTCCGATGACCGCACAAAATAATTTCTCTAATTTGGGATGATTTTGTCTATCCAAGTTTAAATTATGATTCTCTTTACTCTCCATCATCATTTATAAATAAATAAAATAATTAAACTAAATAAAAACTAATATTACTTTACTTAAATCTATAAATATATTTTGATTTTTGTTCTTTTACATGATATTTTTTTTATCAATTATGAGCATAAAATATTATTTTGACCTTCATTAACATATAAAGTATTGCTCTTTATAGTATAATGATGATGGCTATATCTCGCATTATCACACATTGATGTTTGAAGATGACTGATTGATTGGGCATTAGCCATTGTTGGAAGTATGACATATTTTAGGGTCTGTTTGAGACATATATTTTATAACTTTCATTTTCATACAATAATTATAATTTTATTTGTCTATAACTTTCTTATTACATTCTAACAATTTCTCTGTTATAATTTTACAATCAAATTTATGAAAAATTATAATAATCCCAAATAAAATCATAAAATGTATCATTTTTTTAAACTTTCAAGCGAATTAAACACAAAAAATACACATACATCAAATATGTAAACTTTAAATCTATTTTTTTTATTAATAACCACAATTCTTAACCAACATATCAATAAGAGAAAAATGTTTTGTTTATATTGGTCTCAACCCAATTAATAATTTTATTTGACTCAACAACACAAATCAAATAAGTTTGAATTGATATAATATCAACAACACACCATGCCCTTACACTAAAATAAAAATTTAAAATTAAAAGAAAAAAAAAAGTGTCTCTTCGGAGACATCCGATAAAATTGGAACGATACAGAGAAGATTAGCATGGCCCCTGCACAAGGATGACAGGCATAAATTGAGAAAGAAAAAAAAAGTATGACTGTCCCGTTCTTGTAAACATTGCCTGGATTATTCTTTTTATTTGGAACGTTTGGATCAATTAAAACAAATTTATATACACATCATCTACAGAAGACTCAAGTCAAAATGCTCAACCAACCCACATAGATGATCTGCCTCATCAATCATCCTCTTATAATAATGAATAAATTCTTTAATTTATTAATATATAAAATGGCGGTCTCTCTATATAAGGCCGGAGCGCCTCGCTCCTGCAAACTCGAAGTGAGAGAGGGAGAGAGGCGTCAAATTAGAAAGGTATTTTTTCGATCAATCAGATAGGTTTTTTTCTTTCTAATCTTGGAGATTTCTTCGCAATGCTATCGTTCTTAATTTTTTTATTGTAATGATGCGTTTATATGCGACTGTGATCTTTCTCCCACTCCTTAAAATGCTACTGGTTCCGAAATTTCTGGGACATAGTTATTGGGTATTAAGTGTCTACAATGCTTTCAAGGTAATAAATAGAAGGGAAGACTTGCTTGTATACCCTAAACCTGACATTCGTCAGTAGCAATATGCTGAAAAGGATGGTCTTTCTTATATAGATTTGTTAGGTTCGATTTTTTGTTACGTTAAAAATGGTGGTTTAGGTCATTCCATGGTTCTTTCCTTTCAATCGATAATGTTACTGCTTTTCAAGTTCTTTAGAAGTAGGAAGGCCGACGATATTCAGTCTAGTTTTTGTGTTTAACTCTACGGGAACTCCAAATTATTCAGACTAAATTAATCATAAGTCCAGCCTGCTCAACTCAATCACTTGATTTCGGGCCAACTTGAAATGGATTCCTGGTTGACTTGGAATTGGAAAAAAAAAAAAAACGGAGAAAATGAACGAACCTAAAATCTTTTGCATAAGCTATAAAATAATAATTAATCCTTTATATATATGATAAATAATCTCAAAATTATTTGAGTTAAATCTCGAGCAAGCTATTATTATAGACTAAAAAATCAAAATAGATTTTAAGTCAAATGCCCCGGCTTTAAACTCAACTTGAGCTTGTTCTATCGATGTTGATTCGACTATACAATCGAATCAGTTTGAGTTTAGGGTGTTTTTATCTTCCCCTGGTGGAATGAAATAATAGTTTATCTGATTTTACTTATATGTTTCTTGATTTTATTTGTTGGTGAATACATTTCATATTTAAAACATCTTAATTTGTTTTTTTTTTTTTGCATATTCCTGTTTCATTCAACCGCTACTTTTTTTAATTTTAAACTTAGAATTAATTCGAAAGATTATTACCTGTGGAGTTTGGACTAAAGTTGCGTTCGTATTTTATGAGTGTGCACAATAAAAGGGCAATGTGCACAGTAATTGCACTTTTGCCGTGCACACTCACAAATTCCGAACAGTTCTCCAGTCTGAACTCCGCACGTAATAATCTCTCCCAATTTTCACGCTAGTTGAACAAGCATATAAGAAAGATCTTATTGAACTTTTGCTCCTTTCCAACTAACAGGTTTCTGATCAAAACAACTACAGCGCAAATACTTGAACTTGTTTCCATACAGAAGTAGACCACGCTTGCTTCTTTTATGGGTTGTGCGTTTGTAAAACAAGTCAAGCATGCTCCTGGTTATGAGGAGTCCACTCTTCTTGCGTATGAGACAGCATGTATGCATTAAAACTGTTTAATTGCTTTCCTGAAAGCCAAAACTTGAGTGTTGATTATCTTTTTCCATTGGTGATCTTCATGGTCTTCCAACAACTCTAATTTTATAAGTATAACATTCTTGTACAATTTAGTCGATTAATTCCCCATATAGGAGATATTGGCAGGGAGATGGTTTCCATCCATGATGGATGATCTCATTTCAAATATGAAAACATTCATATTATATAGCAATTCGCCGCAAAGCAGTTCATCGATTCATACTTGTTCCAGAAACTTTGTAGACATGCTCACTGCAAACAATTTTAAAGGAAAATTTTCATTTCTTATTTACAAAAACTAACACTTACATATTTAAATTGAATTCGCAGACTTGTGCATTTCTATATGATGAAATAAAATCTCTTTAAAATTTAACAAATAATTGAGAGTGAAAAGTTCACAGTTTAGTCTTATTGTAAATATAAGCAACTTACGTGTTATTTTTGTGAATAGGTACGATTTAAACATTGCACATAATTATCTAATTGTATGATTCTTAGTTCTTACTGATGACCTTACAAGCTCACCATGCACATGCAGTCACTATCAAAGAAGTGGAGTCACTGTATGAATTGTTCGAAAAAATAAGCCACTTAATATTCAATGATGGGTTTATTCACAGGGTACTTATTTTTTCGAGCAAGTTGATAATATGCTTCATCTTTGGCAATGGTACTATGTTGTTTATGACATCAGTTCTTTTGCATGCAGGAAGAATTCCAGTTTGTTCTCTTCAAGGACAGTAACAAGCGCAATTTTTTCGCAGACAGGGTTTGTTCCTTGCTCTCCCCTTATCTGCCTTTTTTTTCCCCATTAAAAACCAGTGAAGGACCTTAATTGTACAGATTTGATATAAGTTTCTCATTATTAGTGTTATTTTGGAATCAGACATTAATTGACTCAGATACATTTGATGGATTTTTTCTTAAATTTAATGTATATGACCTTTACATGTTGACAGCGGCAAGATAAAGCCACTCATTTAACTCTTGATATTGGACTTGGCCGTTGGGTGTGTTTCTTCTTGATTACAATCTGTTTTTGGTTTCTCTCTATCGAAGTGTAAATCCAATGTTTCTGTTTGCTAAATGATACTAGATTTGGCATGCCTAGCTTATTAAATGAGGTGCATAACTTTAGAACACATAATCTGGAGACCGCAGAGATATGCCCACATTGGATCCCCATCCCCTGCTTCTCTCTTAGAAAAATTTTTATCCTTCTTTCCTAAGGTGCTAGGGATGATTGCTGACAAGTATTATAAGAACAAAGATGTAAGTCAAGAGGAAGGTGAGTAGATACTGAAAAGTGCATTTGGAGGCCAAGAAAAATATTGTCACATTCTTCATTGCGATTTTTCTTTGGAGGCCAATGAAAAAATATATTTTTTACTGATCCAGTAGTGATATCTCAAGTGCCTATAAAAGAAAATAGAAATAGTATTGGCAGTTACCTTGCTTTTTGATTGGTTTTATGGGCTCCAGTGATCATTATTTAGTTTATATTGTTTATGGGCATTGCATGTAGGAGTAAGAACTTACGCCTATAGATACACATATATGATGCTTCCAGGGAAAATATGAATATTATGTGGTGGTATTCTACTCCCATTACTAATTGGGTTGAACTACTTTGAATCCCCAATGAAGCCAGAAAGATGACCTCTTGATGCAATTTCTAAATTAGATACTAATATATTCTTGAAGCTAATTGTTCAAAGCGTGATAAAAGATTGTATCATAGGGGGCTACTATTCATTTTAAACAGCATCTGCATGATGCTACATATCTCGAAATTCTATTGAAACAAATAAGAGTTTTCATCTGTTACTATTACTCATGCTGCCAAATTATAATTGTTGAATACTGGCGTGGCTAATTAGAACTTTGAAATAGCCACTCCATTATTGATTAGGAAGTTTATATGAACCTTCCCTAGGCCGGACAACGGTGGGAGCCTCATGCACAACGTACACACATAATAACTAAACTTTAAGGTTGATGTGTTTTGAAAGTTTGATTTATATTCTGATTTAGTTTTAAAAAAATACTTATCCGTTGTAATCCTGGAAGATTTCAATTTTTAATCAATTAATGTCTTATTTTTTTTGCAGATTTTTGACTTGTTTGATATCAAAGGCAATGGTGTCATCGAGTTTGGGGAGTTTGTTAGATCTCTCAGCATATTCCATCCCTATACATCACAAGATGAAAAAATTACATGTATTAAATTTTGTACTTCATATTTCTCAACTTTTGTGATCCTGATAATTTGTTTTTCTGATGCTAACGCAACTTATTATGTTAGGTGGAAATAGCAGGGCATTTTACTAATAATATTTCTTAACATAACGAAGCTCTAAATTCATCTGCTTTGATTTTTAAGCATCTGAATTTCATATATACGATGCTCTTCCAACACATTTTAAGATATTTTGCTTTTAGATTTATTTTCATTTTATTGTCTAGTTCTTGCTCATAATGTTGTGATTTGTTTTATATGCAGTTGCTTTCAGAATATACGACTTAAAAAACGCTGGTTTTATTGAAAGAGAAGAGGTAAGTTGGTCGATCACCATTTTCTTGATTATTTAACTACTTTGTCATGGTTTATTTTTATATTCAAATATTTAGCATTAAAAAAATTTATTGATATCTAAGTTGAGTGTGACACAAATAATAACATGAAAATGTACGTGTGATAAAATTAGATTGAATAAATTACGAAATGAGTGTATAAGAGAAATGGTTTGCATTCTATCCACTGAAGATAAGATAATTAAAAATCTGGACATTATCAACATGAAGGGTAGAACATGCACTTGCTAGACAAGTAGATAAAATTATTGTCGAGGATTTTGAAGGAGAGGGGTTAGATTTAAAATCACATTGATAAAAGTTGTTCAAAATAATTTGTGAAGAATAAGCTTAACTCTTAAGAAAATATTTGGTAGAAACGAATGAAAAATGATCATTTATAATACCAAATATGCTTGCGATAAAATTGATGATGATGATCGTTTATTTTCATAGATATGTCTTGCACTGAGTTTCAAGTTTACCTGTGTTATACCTTACATGCCCACCCTTAAGCCCATTAGGTTCCTCCAAACCAATTTCTAGAACCCTTACAATTGGTACTGCCTCTCTGAACCATCCAAACCTAATAACATGCACAAATCTTGTGCACTTATACATGTGATAGTTGTATGTTTGTTTATTTAAAATAACCATGGATGTGCTATTGAGGCACCATTTGTTATTTTTCAGCTATGGACATGTTTGCAACATAAACAGTGAAATTTGAAGAGTTGCTCATTTTTTTTTTATTCTTTGTGAATTTAGATAGGGTTAATATTTAGTCTTGTTTGATTTAGCCGGCCGAAACTTAAAGTAAAATGTTTTGATTTGAACTTATGTCAATTATGAGTCAGATTAATAGTGTTTGGTTTTGAGTCGAGTTTCAAATTAATTCCATTAAATTTTAATAAATTTATAAAATATTTTAATCATTTATTATTTAAAATATATTTATAAAGATATATTTTTAAATATAAATGGGTATAGATACACTTTAATATGTTTTGTAATGATAAATATATGTATTAAATAGTCCCACAACTATTCATATATAGTCAATTTAGTCCTGGAGTATCACATTCTTCAAGTTTAGTCTCTTGACCATTTAAAATTGATCCAAAATAGTCTCTTTGTGATTAAATTTAGATTAGTTTTTATAATTGAGGGACTAAATTGAATCAATGTGATACTCTAGGACTAAATTGACCACACACGAATTATTTGGGGGCAATTTTGAGATTATTGAACCTCTGAATTCCACATAAACGAGCTTTTTCCAAAAGTATGATAAGTTGAATTAAACTTATTTTAAATATATCAATTCACATAAATGTGTGCATATATCATATTTAGAGTCAGTTTCATATTGCATCATACTTATTTTTAAACATGCCATCTTTGAATTTAGCATATTCAAATGACTATCAAGCGAGTTTTAAAAATAATTAGCAGCCCTAATTTTTCATTGTTGGGTTTCATGAATTTGATTTTGATTTTTTGTGCCGTTGTTACAATACCATGAGTTGATAGATAAATGAAAAAAATGCCCTCATCATTTGGTTCCATCACAACATTTTTATTTGACATTGTTACAAATGTCCCCGTGCTGACATTGTTGAATGCTAGTTGTTGCTGCTGCCAACCACCAGCCGCCACTTGTCCTATTGTGAGATGTGCTATTTTTAAGCTGAGCACTTCTTCTAAATATCTAGATAAAATTTATGATAGATCGGCATTAATGTTTATGGCCTTAATTTCTCCATTTATTATGCATTCTTAAATTTTGATAACGCTTCCTGTTGTTACGAAATTAGTGGTCACTAGAGCTCATACTAAAGATGCATGGTAAAATTTAACAAATCTCTTTTTAACTTGACTTTATTCAATTAAACTTGATTTTATTCTTTGGTTTGTTAAGATACTGCTTTGAATTTCTGATTATTTGATCATTCAAGAAGGTTGATCTCTTCATTTTATTACTTTCACAGTTAAAAGAAATGGTGCTTGCTCTTTTAAACGAGTCAGATTTGTTTCTTACAGATGATGTCGTTGAAACAATTGTTGATCAGGTTGGAAGAATCTTTGTATTTTTTTTTTTTCAGCTGCTTTTTTATTAACACGATTTGATGATTTTTACAATCATTTGCATCCTTATAAAGGTTCTGATATTCTTTTTTCTTTTGACAGACATTCAAGCAAGCAGATTTGAACTGTGATGAAAAAATAGATCCCATGGAATGGAAGGAATTTGCGAAGAAAAATCCATCCTTGCTCAAGAATATGACTCTTCCATATTTGATGTAAGCTGCATATATGTAGTCAGAAATTTCTAGTCAGTTTTTTTTTTTAATATCAAATTTTATATAGGAATAAATGCTGCTGCGAAGTAAACCACGCAATAAAATAAATAAGAAAAACAAGATAGCAGAAATTCACTATGAAAAAATTAGAAATCGGGAAAAAGCCACGGAACTATACCACACTAAGAAATTCACTATGAAAATGAGAGCAATTGTATAGATAATTCTTCTCACACTCTCTCATTGTCCCTCTTCACTTTTCACATAGTTCTTTTCTTAGAAAAGAGAATGAGACGCATTACAATACACCAAAGGATGCAACCCTTCAATTGAAATAAGAAAACATGCTCAGTTCGTCTTGTAGCGCTGTGACGTTGTACTTGCGACGCCCGAGGCGTTGTGAACTACATAGCTGCGGCACTGAGTTCATAGTGTTGCAGTGTTGTGCCACATTGCTTTTTGTCTCAGAAGGGTACCATAGTGCCTTAACGTTGGATATACAGCGATGTGGCACTGCATGGATAAGAAATTTTTTTTTGGGAGATTTGCCCCTCGAACAGGGGGGCGCGTTGCTCCCATGCAACCCTCGAACGACCTCCTCGTTGAGCTCAATCAATGAAATTGTGGTCTGAGTCAACAATAAAACCCAATTGATTGACACAATTGAAGTCCACACAAAACTAACAAATAATAAATTAGATTTCATTAGTTCTACATGCTAAAATGTTTTATGTTCATGAGGGCCCATATGCTAATATATTCCTGCTCTTTTTTTTTTTTTTTGGGGAGGCTAAGCAAGTGCTGCATCTTTATAGCGTTAAACATCTTATCATCAAAGTTTTATATCCTAATCTTTGGGTTGGAAAAATTATAGAACTACTCAAAATTGCCA